TTCTGTCCTTTCCGAAATACGCGAACGCTACGAAAAGATAAATCTCGTACATGCCGCCGGACGAGTTCATGAGCATGAGACGCTCTTATCTTGGGAACGTATTAATAGTTACTGCATTGACCACTACTACGATATGGCGCTGAAATCAGTGAGAAATACTGGTCTCTCCTTCATCCAGACCTTTGGCGATCTGTCTATTAATCTGTGACCTTACCAATATGGCGTATACAAATATTATTTTTATAAAATTTAAAAAAGGTAAATATTGTAGGCCAACTAAACAAGCAATTAAATAAGATTTAAAGATTTATTAATAATTAAATAATTAAATTCTCATTCCGTTAGAGAAACAATATACAGCGTAAACGTTTCGACTGCACTACAGTCTTTTTCAATACATAAAAATCAAATATTAAAATACAAAAGTTAAATATTAAAATACAAAGTTAGTTAAATATTAAAATACAATGTTAAACGATTCTTCGCTGATGACCAATGGATGAGTAAAACGATTGGTCTGAGATTTCAAGTTTTGCGACATTTAATCATGCTGTGGATATTTTACGCGAATTAAATTAATATCAGAGAAAATGAAAAAATCTTTCAACTTACATTATCGTTTTAACAAGTTCTTCTTCTCGACATTTCAAGTGTGTGTTGCGAAGTCTAAATTGGTCATCAGCGAAGAATCGTTTAACTTTGTATTTTAATATTTAACTAACTTTGTATTTTAATATTTAACTAACTTTTTATTTTAATATTTATAACTTTGTATTATAATATTTGATTTTTATGTATTGAAAAAGACTGTAGTACAGTCGAAACGTTTATGCTGTATATTGTTTCTCTAACGGAATGAGAATTTAATTATTTAATTATTAATAAATCTTTAGATCTTATTTAATTGCTCGTTTAGTTGGCCTACAATATTTACCTTTTTTAAATTTTGTTAATTTATACGAGCCTTTCATTAATTAATTTTATTTTTTATATTTTTTATATTATATTTTGACAGCATTAAAATTATTTCCCTATTTGAATATTAATTTAGCAATGATAATATTTTTTTTAAATATATAATATTATAGGAGTGTCTGAATTGTATCAAAGCTCCATTTTTACGCGCGCAACTAACGCAAGCACGGTTGGACAATATATGCTACCAATCCACATTGCCAATTGGCTAGTTTTGGACTAGGATCTTCTGATTGGTTAACTACGCTGGCGCCTTAAGTCGCGCATGATGTGTGCAGTGACTTAACGAGATCCTCCTAGCGCGGCGATTTTGTTTTTTCGCTCTTTCTCTGCGATAACGTGAGCCCATACGGACGTGTATTTTGTGCCTCCGATATTTGCGAAGTTATCTCGAGGAATTCCATACTTTCTACATCATTATTTTGATTTATCAAATATCCGCAGTGAGTACCTAACAGAATGTAACAATTAAATTGATAATTTCTTTTTTATTTTATGATGATTAGAAATCATTCGAGAGAAAGAGATTCGCGGTATTTTATTTTCAAGTTCTATATATTTATTAATATTATATGTTATATTTCTTATCGCAATATATTTGTCGCGTTCTTTGGTATTATACAATAATTAAATAATTTGTTAAATAATATAGAAAGATGGGAATTGTTGCATTTGGCTCGATTTTCGTAACTTAGCAACGAGACGTCGGCGCGACTAACTAAAGGCCTGCGCACAGAGGCGCGCCAACTCGTTGTTAAATTCTATACTTTTTACATATTATTTTAATTTATCAAATATCTGCAGTGAATATCTAACATCGTGTATCAATTAAATTGATAATTTCTTTTTATTTAATGATGATTAGAAATCATTCGAGAGAAAGAGATCGCGGTTTTTTTTTTCAATTTTCTATATATTTTATTAATCTTATATGTTATATTTCTTGTCGCAATATATTTGTCGCGTTCTTTTGGCATTATACAATAATTAATTTATTTAGAAATAAATATTTTTATCGGCTCTCAATATAAAGAATATAAGTATGCTGTCTTCTAAGCCGGGCAATAGAGCCAAGGAAACGAAAAGTTAATTAAACGAAACTGTATCTCAATTTGAGATCCCAAAGTTCCACATATAAATTAATTTCGAAACTTACATATGGGGAAATAAGCGAGAAAAATATAGGTCCGAAAAGTCGCTGAAGCGGGAAAATCGAACCCGCGTCTTTCACTTTCCGGGCGACTGCTCTTACCAAATAATTAATTTATTTGTTTTCTGTTTCAGGTAAAGCCTTGTGTCCACGATCCGAGAATTCGGTCCGAGAAGTTTGTAGCCAATAAAATAGCCGCTTTTCTGTAAAAGCTGCAAATTGATTGGTTACAAACTTCTCGGTCCGAGAACTCGGACCAAATTCTCGGATCGTGGACACAAGGCTTAAGATATAGAGGAGCAAATTTTTTGGTTGTGCCTTACAGGAAAAGGCGGGGATGGGGCCTTTTCCCCAAAAACAAAATAATAATAGGAAAAATTAATAAACCTGAAAAATAGGCCAGATAACGAGCAAAAAATTTTTTTAGATGTAGAAATAATTGAAACTTATTTATTTGTATTATAAAAGTATGATGAAGTTCAATTATTTCTACATCTAAAAAATTTTTTGCTCGTTATCTGGCCTATTTTTCAGGTTTATTAATTTTAAATTATACACGAGCGTTTTGTTATTTTTATGGCTTTTTTATAATAATAGGACTTAAATAAGATCGAGTACACTGAAAAAAAAATTTTGTTAGATTAACAAAAATTCTGTTCGAAAATGGACGAAACGGAATTCTGGTTGAATCTACCAGAATTCCTTTTAATACAACAAATATCTTATTTGCACCAATAAACTGATTTGTTGTACAAACAAGATGCTTATTGCATTAAAAGGAATTCTGGTAGATGCTTGTTGCATTAAAAGGAATTCTGGTAGATACTTGTTGCATTAAAAGGAATTCTGGTAGATTCAACCAGTAATTCCGTTTCGTCCATTTTCGAACAGAATTTTTGTTAATCCAACAAAATTTTTTTCCAGTGTAGGATTTTCTTGTTACAAGTAGTTTCAGCGGTAATAGTTTAATTTATAATTTAATTAAAATAAATGTACTTTGCGTTTATAATTGATATATTAGTTATTAAACATGTATTGTACATATATTATATATATAATTTTTTTTTATACATATACATTATTACATCATTGTAACATATAAAATACGCATATATATATTTATAACTTTTTAAAAAATTATATGTATTTTTTATATGAGATAAATAAATAATTGTTTTTTAATTATAAAATTGATTTTACTGTTTTTTTAATTATAAAATAATAAAAAGAAAAGGGGAAGAAGAGGAGGAAGCGTGTACGAAAATCCTTTTTTGTACTGGAACTGTACTGATGTTGTACTGGTATCGTACTGATACCATACTAGTATTATAAGAGTACAGCCTATGATAAAATTTTATTTCAATATACAGTGGTGATACAGTGGCGCTACAGTAGCCGTACCGCGTACTAATACGGTGTATTGGTAATGTACTCCTACGGTACGCACGTACGTGGTAGGTACCGTACTGATACATAAAATACGACGTACGCTCTCCGTACCGGTACCGTGGAAGTATTTTGTTATCTGGGATATTGTAGTACAGCGTATCATCATTGTACCTGTACTACGTATTAGTGCGTATTATCGGTACATATCGTACAATACAGTTCGTACGAACCGTACCTTACATATTTGTATACGCCGTATTGGTAAGGTACGGTTCGTACAAACTGTATTGTACGATATGTACCGATAATACGCACTAATACGTAGTACAGGTACAATGATGATACGCTGTACTACAATATCACGTATTGGTTTTGTACTGTTACCATACGGTTACTCCGTATGCTGCCATCTCGTGGCGGCACAGTAATAGTACAGTAGCGGTATTTTGTGCAGGAATCGCACGCTTGGTTATCTGGGAATATGGTTTATCATTCATATACCGTTGGCTATAAAAGGTTACAATTGTCAAATAATTGATTATGCACAAATGCATAATCTTTTTAGAATCGTTATACATTATTAACTGTCTTCAATGGCTGTTTTGCATCGCGCTTTGTTCACGTGGTTTAATTTGTTAATATTTTTGGTCCTGCTAGTCCTGAAGCTTGACCAAAGAATACAATGGAACTGGTTTATTGTTTTCATTCCAATGTGGCTTTACAACAACATTCTTCTTATGTACATTATTTTCAACATGATCTCACATTGCAAGAACGGACGTCTCAATAGTTTGCACAGAGAGGCAAGTATTTGGTCAATTTTCAAGTCGCAGTTCAACAAGATGTAGACTTTCTTTTGCATAGTTAAAATTATTCCAAATTTGTTTTTGCATGTATATATGTATATACAATTTATAAAAATGTTGGATTTAGAAATATGGAGGTGCAATAATGTTATAAAAAAAACATTCAGTTTTAATTAAAAAAAAGAAAAATTATTACCTTTCAGTATGCAGTAACAATGTTATTGTTTCAGGTATGGTATATAACAGCTGTGCTCCTGAAACTATGTGCTCAGATCCTGATTTGTTCAAAATTAGAGGCACCTGAGTGGTCACTTCCAGCGAAAGTGGTATTGGCACCCTTCTGGCTGCTCCTTCCAGCATTAGCAGTCGATGTCTTTATCCATTTGATACATCAATCTAGATATTGACAATGGATAAGTGCCAGCTTTCTGCAAACTACCTGAGGACTTATATACGTATGGTTACATTAATAAAATATCGATATTATCATTACTTTTTATATAAAATCAAATATATAATTATATATATACTTGTTATTTTTATAAATTGCTTATATTCCATCATATTTATTGGATAATAAAGTATTATCTTGTCACACATACATATTAATTTATATCAGTTACATAAAAATTTATGAATATACTCTATTAATTTAAATATTTGGTGCTACTAAATTTTTCTGTAAAGAAATCAATAGATTAATCCTTATGGGAAGGTCTGAAAATGTAATGTATAAGTTGTCACAAGATATAAGTCTAGTCTAGTTTACTATAAATACTTGGTATTGCACAAGGCCAAATAGGACAGAGAGTTAAAAATAAGTAAATTCATAACAGTGCTTGTCGTAGCAATTCTCTCATCAGTAACTGAAAGAGCATCTTCTGGTTAAAATCACAAATTTATGCTATAGCTAGTGAGTCCGTTTATGTGAAAAAAATAAAAGCAGTGAACAATTACACACAAGAGTTTCTCTTATGATTACGCAACATCATTAACTTCGTTAAGAAAAGTCTTGTCTTGCATTGTGTACTGAATGATTATTGTGACAAACATCTGTGAAGAATAAATTGATAGCAGCTGTAGAAAAAACAAAATGATCAATGTAAATAGAATGTAATTATGGCATGAATGAATGGAAAAGACCAGCAACATCTGCCAGTCTGCTGACATTGGTCGTCACAAAATATAGCAATTGGATAAATTTCTATCAGTCTTATATTTTCTTGTGCACATTTTTCTCTTGATATATACATATAATTTAATACATAAGAAAATATATATATATATATTCTCTGATTCTATCTCTATAATTAAATCTTGAAATAAAAGTATGTACACATTAAACAGTTATTATTAGGGAGTGATATTTTTTTTCTATAAATTCAGTTTATTTGTGTGCAACTAATAAAATAAGTGATTTTTTTCATAAAAATTTATAACTGTATAAAAGTTTCTCTAATTGATTTCTAGGTGACAATGTGGTTTTTTATACTTTTTTATTCATTATTTATATTACGAAAATCTGAAACTGCAAGTGATGTAATATCTGTAAAAGAAGTGAAAGCTGGACACTTAGCTGAGCTTCCATGCTTAAGCATTGATGAACATCATCGTTTTATGTTCTGGCAACTTGGAAATAACGATGTCATTGGTCCAGGAAATCCTTTAAATGCAAAGAAATATAATTATGAAGTATTGACTGGCACACTTCAGATAAGAGTAAGTGTTCAGATGTTTTACAAATATATTCTAGATTTTCTTTCTTTTATAAACAATAGCTTAGTTGTGTAGTAGAAACTTAAATGTGTAAATAAATTATATTTTATAATTTTATGAAGTACAATATGTGTATCTTTACAATTTATGTTTATAATGCTTATAGGGTGTGTCAACAGCAGAATCTGGATTTTATAAATGTATTTCGAAAGGTTTATTCGACGAGTCTAAATTGAAGATTAATTCTGTTGAATTAATAGTAAAAAATGATTGGGAAAAAGTTTGGGAAAATGATTTTGAGGTACCTCTTATAATTATAAAAAATATATTAAAGTGTTAAGTAACTACATTGAATTATACTTAAATTTTATGCTTATATTACAATGCAGCTAAAACCTAGAAAAATTTTACAAATAAGTTATATTAAATAATTTACAAATAATTTATTCTGCATTTGTTGTACGTACTTGTACAGTGGCGTCCAAAGCTGAAGATCGTGATGGTTCTATAAAATTGTCTTCCACAATATTAATAAGCCTGTTTGCTGTTTCTTTTTTCAATCGAAAAATATTTATAAATTGTCGCTCTGATAAGTGAAATGGATCATCCCTTATGTGAAAACGCTGTCTTTCATTATAATCAAAAATATTTTCTAATTGTTCAGCAATATGAAGTTGAACAGCATTTTGATATGCTAAATCCATTGCAATTATAAATTTAATTAACCTCTCTTACATTGGATAACTTCACTTTTTTTGAAAACAGCGGTTTTATTACTATATTTATCGTATGCGACTTACATATCGCATGGGGTTTACCCACTCGAGATGAACTGTTCGATATTTTCTCGCATACGATACATCTCATTCATTCGAGAATACCATTTTTGCTATCGAATGCGATATCGCATGCGATATCTAGGGTCCTCGTTTCAAGAATAGACCCCCTGTCTATTAATCTGTGCCCTTGTCTTTATAGGTTTGTTCGCGTCGCATGCCTCAACTTGCTTCGTTTTACTTCAATGCGCTCGTATTGGTCCAATTCGAGGAGCGTACCAATACAAGCGCATTGGAGTAAGAAGGAGTAAGTTGGAGCATGCGACGCGAACAAACCTTATATCATGACCATACGGTTGTAGCATTCATCATCCACACCTTTCATTTACACTCTACACTTTTATTACACCTTACACTTTTCACTGCACTTTTACACTTTTTACATCTTTATACATTTGTAATAACTTCAATTCATTAATATACATAATGTTTTTAAGAAAAATCAATATTTCCATAACAACACATTCATTCATTTATTTGTTACATATTAATTCTTTTTGTTCTTTCGCTTTATACTTTCAATGAATAAACATTACTTTTTCAAAGATCTGGTGAATTTATTTATAAGTCGCTACATTTTTGGTGACCCCGACGTGATATTAAAGCCGACGTGATATTAAACCGACGTGATATTAAAGCCGACGTGATATTAAAGCCGACGTGATATTAAAGCCGACGCATTTTAAAAGCTGATGCGGAATAAGTGCCAAGTGATCGTCGTATTTGAAGTCTGCGAAATATTATCATCGCTTGGAAGAATTGCTGGATATTCTGATTTTAAGAGATTCATTCTCCGGATCTTTGAAACATCAGAGGCGGATTAGTCCTTCACGGAAATTCTCAAATCATTTTATCGGATTCCTGGAACAAGAGGAAAATGCCAATCGATAGATCACCAGTTAGACCCTGTTCGGATACACAGATTGATATGGATTTGGCGAGCGGATCAAATCAGGTTGGATCAGATAATATTAATATTTTACCTTCTCAAACTGGACATCAGGTGAGTGATCCTATGTTACAAATTCACTCAAATGAGTTTCGTTTATTAAAACTACCGACTTTCTGGCATAAACAACCTAAACTCTGGTTTGCTTCTATTGAAAGTGAGTTTACGGTTTATCGAATTCGATCAGATGATATTAAATATAGTTCTGTCATTCGTCATCTTGATGAACAAGCCTTAGTAAACATATCTGAAGTCATTGAAAATCCACCTGAAACAGATAAATATAATTATTTAAAGAAAATATTAATAAATCGCTTTACGGATTCAGAGGAAAAACGTTTGAGACAAATATTAGCTGGAATTGAACTTAATGATAAAAAGCCTTCGGAATTACTTCGAGAAATTCGTCATTTGTCTGGAGGATCTTTAGCAGATAGTGTTTTGCAAATGATTTGGCTTCAACGCTTACCACATAGAATTCAAACGACTTTAGCCGTAGTAGAGGATGTTCCTCTTGTTAAACTTGCGGAATTAGCCGATAAAATTGCTGATCGGGACGGCGGTTTGCAAGTTGCGGAAGTTTCCAATAATGCAAGTAATAAATCTTCAGATTTCGCGGATTTGCTACGAAGAATCGAAGCTCTTGAAGTTTCTCGTCGTCGAGATCGTTCCAAAAGCCGGTCTAGAGAGAATAGAAGATTTAGATCGTTATCGCGTAACAAAGACAAATCAAATAAAGATATTAAAGATACATCAATTTGTTTTTACCATAAGAAGTTTGGTGATAAGGCTAAACGATGTACTTTACCTTGTTCTATGTCCAAAACATTCTTGGCTTCACAGGAAAACTAAAAACGCCGCTTAAGACTGAGGCTGCTTACGACGGTGTTTCTAACAATCGCCTCATTATTTTCGACAGACATTCAAATTTGAATTTTCTTGTCGATACGGGCGCTGATATATCGTTGTTACCTAAAAAGGTTTTATTGAAGCCGTGGCATACTAATTTAAAACTTTTTGCCGCAAATGGTACTCAAATTAATACTTACGGTTCTAAAACTTTAATTTTGAACCTCGGTTTAAGGAGAGAATTCAAATGGAAATTTTGTGTCGCGGATATTCAACGTCCTATTTTAGGCGCCGATTTCCTTTGTCATTTTAATCTCCTAATTGACATTAAAAACAAGAAATTGATTGATAATGTTACCGGTCTTATGAATACTGGAAAAATTCAAGAAGTTGCACATTTGTCAATTTTTACCACATCTCCTGATTCTGTGTACCACAAATTTTTAACCGAATTTCCAGGACTCACCCGTTTTTCTCCAATTTCCTCGGTAAAAACACATGGTGTTGAACATCATATCGTTACGGAAGGTTCTCCTAAATTTTCGACTCCCAGAAGACTTACTCCTGAGAAACTTAAATGTGCCAAGGAAGAATTCAAGTCTATGATGGAGCAAGGAATTTGCAGGCCTTCAAGCAGCTCCTGGGCAGCCCCTCTACATATGGTACCTAAAAAGGAACAAAATTCTTGGAGACTGTGTGGTGATTATCGTGCACTCAATTCAGTGACTATCCCGGATCGTTATCCCTTACCTCATATTCAAGATTTTTCTTCTTCACTTTTTGGTAAGAATATCTTTTCTAAAATCGACTTAGTTAAAGCGTACTATCAAGTACCCGTCGCTAAAGAAGATATTCACAAAACAGCTGTCACTACTCCATTTGGGCTTTTTGAATTTGTCGTAATGCCTTTCGGTTTACGAAACGCAGCCCAAACTTTTCAACGGCTCATGAACTCTTTACTTAATGATTTGAGTTTTGCCTTTTGTTATCTTGATGACATTCTTATTGCTTCTAAAGATGAGAAAGAACATATTGCTCACTTACGCATTATTTTTGATCGTCTTCAACAAGCTGGAATGACAATCAATGTCGCTAAATGTCTTTTCGGTCAAAGCGAGATTTCTTTTCTTGGTTACTTAGTTTCTAACCAAGGAGTTAAACCTACATCCGAAAAAGTGAAATCAATTATTGATTATCCTAAACCTAAGACACTTCATGAATTACGCAGATTCTTAGGAATTATCAATTATTATCGTCGCTGTCTCAAGGATGCTGCAAATCATCAAGCTCTGTTAACAGAATATTTAAAGGACAGTCGCAAGAGGGATAGAAGAATTATTTCTTGGACTAAAGAAGCGGAATTAGCTTTCGAGTCATGTAAAGAAGAACTTTTACAAGTTACTACCCTTTCTCATCCTGCTCCTCATGCTCCTCTTATTTTAACTTGTGATGCTTCTGACTTTGCTGTTGGTGCATCACTTGAACAGTCTATTGACGACGATATCAAACCAATAGCATTTTTCTCAAAGAAACTAGACAAAGCTCAAAGAAATTATAGCACTTATGATAGAGAACTTCTTAGCATTTATTTGGCTATTAAACATTTCAGGCATTTTGTTGAAGGAAGACAACTGATTATCAGAACTGATCATAAACCTTTGATTTTTGCTTTCCGTCAGAAATTGGATAAAGCGTCACCAAGACAGATCAGACAATTGGACTTTATTGCTCAATTCTCTACAAATATTACCTATATTTCTGGAAAAATGAATTCAGTTGCTGATGCTCTGTCAAGAATTGAATCTATTTCAATGCCTATTATAGTTTCTTTAGAAGAACTTGCTAATTATCAGAAAGAAGATGAAGAACTTCAAGTTTTACTTTCTTCAAATTCTTCACTTCTGTTGAAGAAACTTATTCTTTCAGGATCAACCATACCTATTTATTGTGATTGCTCTTCGGAATTAATTCGTCCATATGTTCCTAAACTCTTACGCAAGAGAATTTTTGATGTTGTTCATGGACTCGCTCACCCCAGCGGCAGATTGACATCTAAACAATTACTACTGAAATTCATTTGGCCTTCTTTGAAGAAAGATGTGAAGGAATGGACTCGAACTTGTCTTCCATGTCAACGTGCGAAGATTTCAAGACACACCAAGAATTCTCCAATTAAGATTGCAATTCCTGATCAACGCTTTCAGCATGTGCATTTAGACATTGTTGGACCACTTCCTATTTGTCAAAATTACCGTTATTGTCTTACTATGATTGATCGTTTTTCCAGATGGCCTGAAGCTGTTCCTATTTCTGAGATTTCTGCTGAAACTATTTCTACAACATTTTATTCACATTGGGTAGCACGTTTTGGTTCTCCTATCAGCATTACAACAGATCAAGGTCCTCAGTTTGAAGCAGCTTTATTCAAAGCTTTAACAAACCTAATTGGATGCCAAAGGATTAGAACTTCTGCTTATCATCCTGCTTCAAATGGAATTCTGGAAAGATGGCATAGGACTTTGAAAGCAGCGATTATGTGCCACGAAACAACCAACTGGGTAGAATCTTTACCTTCAGTTCTTTTGGGATTACGTTCGTGTTTCAAAGAAGATTTAAAAGCTTCACCTGCAGAACTTCTTTATGGATCCACTCTTCGTATTCCTGGAGAATTTTTCATTGAAGAAGATTTTCCTGCAGATCCTGAAATCTTTCTTGAAAAACACAGGATTCATATGAGGAATATCAGATCATCTCCTACAAGTCATCATTGCAAAAGATCACCTTTCGTTCACAAGAATCTTTTTGATTGTACTCATGTTTGGATTCGAGAAGATACTGTTAGGAAGTCACTACAACCTCCTTATTCTGGCCCTTTTCCTATTGAGAAACGTATCTCTG